AAAATAATCTGAAATGCAGGCAAAGGTTTATGCTCAAAGATATTCTTCAAAGTGTTATTATAAACAGAGTAACATCCCAATCATTGAATAATGTTTAAATAAACGATGCTACAGAGCACAGTATTGTAGCCATTAAAATCTATTCTTATGGGGCCAGCAGGTAGTATGGTGGTTAAGACTCTGGACTCCCACAAAGTCAACCATGGTTCAAGTCTCTGACCTGGCAGCTTGTTTGTTGTTGTTGTTGTTGTTGTGTTGTGTTTTGTTTTGTTTTGTTTTGTTTTTTTTCTCTCTCTCTGTCTGCTTCTCTCTCAGGTCAAATTAAAGGGTGGTAATAATTAAAAATAATTCTAAAAAAAAAAGTATTCTTACAGGGTATTTTTAAAGCCCTTGATAAAAAGGTAATTTTTAAATCCCTCGAAAAAAAGGTAATTAAGGCTCAGATCATCTTAATTATTTTAAAATTTATATATACATGATATAGCTATACACACTTTTGAACCATAGGTGGAAAAATCTAAAGCAAAATCTACCAAAATGTTAAAAATATGGTAGATTTGGGGTGGCAGGATCTTGGACATTATTTTTGTTTCTTTTTACCCTGCTTTTGAACTTTAGACAATAAGCTTATAGTTTTAGAGTGAAGGAAACTAAGAGAAGCTGTAACAGCTATTTAGGGAATGACAAGTGCAGTGGACCCCTGAACAACATGAGTTTGAATTGTACAAGTCTCCTTATGTGGAATTTCCTCAATACATACTGTAGATATATTTTTTCTTCCTTGTAGTTTCTTAATACCATTTATCTCTAGCCTACATTATTGTAAGAACACAGTATTTAATACAAAGGGGTATTCAAAATTTTCATGGAGAATGTGTATTCTGAAAAAATTATGCATGGATTTCAGTATTTTTTTGCACCAAAATAAACATGTACTTAAAAAAAATTTAATGTATTTAGCTACCCTTTTTTCCTTTTTTAATAATAATAATAATTATTATTTTTATACATCCAATTGCTGAACATCATTTAGCTTGAATAGAGAATTTACCCAACATAAAATAGACCTCAGACAAGTCCAGTTGAGAACATGTACTTTAATTCCATTTTTCATAAACTTTTGGAAGTTTCCTTATGCATATAACATATAAAATATGTGTTAGCCAACTATTCATGTTCTCAGTAAAGCTTCAGGTCAACAGTAGGCTATTAGTAATTAAGTCTTTAGAGAGTCAAAAATTATACACAGATTGTCAACTGCATGCAGGGAGCTGTCACCTCTAGCCCACCCCTTGTTCAAGGGTCAACTGTAATTGGTGTGTGAAATATTCATGTTTTCATAAAGATGCACAATGAATCAGGTGTGAATAAATCACAACATGACTTAGATTTGTCCCCTAGATTGAGGGAGACTTTATAGGTTTTGAGTTTGCTTATGTTTTCTTGGCTAGGCTATAAGTGAGAGTCATAGGTTCTAATTGTATTTAATGATCACCAATAATAAGGCGGAAGGGAAAAAAATGCTTTGGAAATGAAATCAGAAAGCAAATGTGAAAGAGAACTTTTCTAATTATTCTAAATCCCTTGTTCTTGAAAGAGGGCAGAGGGGAAATTCTGTTTCCTACTCCTTGCTGGAAATGATTGCGCCTCCCTGTTCTGAGCTTGTTTCAAGGCTACCACCAGCATCAGTTTATTGGGAATGCATTTTACCTCCAGCTTCCAAGAGGACACAATTGACAAGTGGCGAATCGACACAAGGAATTAAAGCTATAAAACAAATTTGAGGTTTTACCTTCTAAAATAAGCATTGTGTCACTTTCCGCCATTCCCTTTGTATTTTTTTTTTTACTTTTTTTTTTGAGAGGTTTTTGCCATAGGGCGCGTGTGCTTGCCAGAGACAGAGAGACAGAAAGCGAGAAATCACCTCCCAGGGGGGATGGCCACACCACAATCCCTTCTCCTCCATTCTCCTCTAGGGATCTTGGGCACACATGCACACGCGCCCAGCGTGAGTTTAAGCCACCAGGTCCGGGACGTGAACTGCGGTCAACTACGTGGGAGTCCCGCGACATAGCCATTACGCTAATTGCTAGTCCCTCCCTTTGTATTTTAATCCTACGTGTTTATCTGAGAATATTTGGGCATGGGTGGCAGTGGGAGGAGAGTGAGTTTTCACTGTGCATTCCTCAGCATTTAGAACCCATGTGCTATGTGGGGAGAATATTGTCTTAGCCTCTCTTGAGGTACAGGGGTATATGGGGTAGTGGTTTTATTGTTTTTGTTTCATTTTTCCTACTCTGCAAGGAAGAAAGTGGTAGAGGTGACTAGCCCAGAGAACTGTAACAATCTAGCCACAAAAACAAGATAAAGAACTGGAAAGTTGATCTAAAGCTGTGCTGGCTTCAGATGATCAGGGCTGCAGCTGACTGAGTCTCTGATTTCATCTAGAGTCATGTTTAGATGGTGTATTAACCTCCTATTGCTATTGTATGTGACTACCACAAACTTAATGGCTTAAAACAACATGAATGTATTCTCTTACAGTTCTGAGGTCAGAAACCTGGAATTGGTTTCATTGGGCTAAAATCACATTGTTGAACAGGGCTATGCCTTTGGAGCCTTCAAGGCAGAATCCAGTTTCTTGCTTTTACCAGCTATTAGAGGCCACCTGCATTCTTTGGCTCATGGCTTCTTCCTACCATTTTCCAAACTCTTGCTTCTATTATCACTTCTCCTACTTCCCTGACTTCCTTGCCTCTCTCTTATAAAAACCCTACAATCACATTGGGCCCATCCACATTATCTCAGATAAGCCCTCCATCTGAAGATCTGAGTTTAATCACATCTACAAAGTCTGTTTTTCCACATAAGGTAACATGCATGGATCCAGGAACAAGGATGTGGCTATTGGTGGGGTCATTATTCAGCCTGCCACAGGTAATTAGCCAATGTTCAGGCTGTTCTTGAATCCCTTAGGGGCCAGGCTAGGGCTGGGGAAACACACAGAGGCTCAGGCAACTTGATGGAGAAGATAAGAAGCTGTACAGGTGTTCTAGGGCCAAGTTGCATGGAACCAAGGCCAAATGGGTGTTGGGGAGAAGGCATGCAGACTGTCATAGGCAGTGTCTGTGAACCAAGCCTGGACTGACAGCAAAGTATAGGGTGGATTGTCACATGCCCATCACATGACCGTGATGATCTCCTTTGGGGAGTCTACAGCACGGGTTTCGTGAGTGGAGACAAAGAGAGATGAGATAGCAAAGGCAGCTTGGGCCCAGAGCACAGGGCATCTTAAAGAGCAGGTTAAAGTGCTCAGATATGATTCCCTAGAAAGAGGTAGGCCTGTTTCCCCATGCCCAGGAGTTACAGAGAATGCCTAGCCAGACTGGAGGTTGGTCAGGCAAGCCAGGTGCCATCTGCTATCATCTGAAAAACTGACTAACTGAGCCTTATCTGGACTAGCCCAGGAAAGAGATCACACAGTCACTTTCTGCATTCGCCCTCCATGGGATGAAGGAAAAGCATCCTTGCAGGTCTGACAGGTTGGGTCTGAATCCCATACAGTAGCTGCCAAGTGACCTGAGACAGGTCACTGAACCTCTCTGAGCTCAGTTTTCTCACTTCGGAAATGGCCATTGTGAAGACCTGCCTCGCTTCCTCACAGAGCCAAGTGTGAGAAGGTAGAGGAATTAAGAAGTAAACAGGCTAGACTTGTTATCAGTTTCAGTGCTGCTGGGAGCAGTTCAATGAACCAGAAAATCATGGAATTTTAGCTATTAAAGATCATCTAACCCAGAGAGCTCTACGGCATTCACAAATATTGGTAAAGAAGAGTCTGATTTTGTAGAATTAGAAAAGCTCTCCCTCCAGCCTCCATCATCATAAGGTCAGAGAGGCTTGGAAGCAGAGGATAAGGCAACCACACTTAGAAGTTAGACCCAGGAGAGCTCTGCCTGTTTATCTCCATGGGGGTCAGAGGCACCCCCTGGCCCCTCACCAAGAGCTGAGTCGCAGCACCAGTCAGATATTTGCTAGGTTATCCTAGGCTAAGCTGTCTGTAAGTGGGAGGCTAGGCCAGGCTGGCCCTCTCCACACAGTAGCCTGGATCTCTGGGACCCAAAAAAATGTGAGTGGTCACAAGTTAATTATCATTGTTCTTAATTTGAAAACTAATAATTACTAATATGTTTATTATAAACTGCCCATTCTCTCTTTCTCTACTGGATGATATGATCTAGCTAACAATTTCAGAACTAGAGCAAATGTTAAAGTCAAATCCTCTTTTATAGAAGGGGAGGCAAAGGCCAGATGGAGGAGAAATGTGGTCAGTTTCACACAGTCAGCCATGGCAGAGCCAGGTCCCTGCCCAGGACCCATGCTCTCACAGGGTGTTCGTTGCATTCTCTAATACAACAGAATGGAGTGCATGTGTTTGTAGCATCTGCTCAGTAAGTCACTCCAGTGATGGACTCTGAGTGAGATACACTAGACTAAGTATATCTCTTTGTACTCCAAATGCAACATTGAAGGTAGAGTTGTCTTTTTTTTTTCACATTATTTATTATTTGTTTTTTGTATATACTTTCAATCATGTTGTTTGGCTTACAATGAGACCATTTCAATATGTGCACATTTCTCTCCAGACCTGTTGATCTTGTCTTATGCAGATGAGTCTCAGGCTACACAAAGCTGGCCCCCTAGCACACAGGATACTAGAGGGTTTGGAAAAAAGACTAAACCTTGGCCACTCATTAATCATCACTAGAAAGTGAGGTACCCAGCAGCCTATGGCTATGAATGAGAGACTTTTAGCTCCTTCTGGGGTTGGCCCAGGGTAGGGCCAGATGCAGATGCAGGTGTCTCAGTCATGCCTTGGGACATGAATGTAGGGAAGGGCAAAGCCCTCCCTGTAGCCTTTCTAAGAGGCCAACCAAGTATGCACACAAGGGCCTGGGCCACCCAAACTCACCATGGGCCTGTGTCTGTTGCTTGTTCTCCAGGAACACCCCCGGGCTCCAAGATGGCGCTGCAGAGTTCCTTCACTTGTTGGGATGGAACCGTCCTCCGGCTCGGGCAGGCCTGTGACTTCCACCGGGACTGCGCCCAGGGAGAAGATGAGGGCCACCTGTGCAGTGAGTAGGGGAGCTGCCCCCAACCCACCCCATGCCCCTATTCCTCTCTTGTCCTCCTCACCCCAGAAGCATGAACTTGCACAGCAACACTGACTTACCTCATGGCAACACATAGCACAGGGCCCACCTCATGACCTAGTGGTTAAGTGGGCCAGATCCCATGTGGACAACCACAGTTCTAATCACAGCCCCAGCAGCTTGAAAAATATGCCAGACACATGTGTGTATGCCCTAAATCCCAACAGGGTGGAGAAATGGAGAAGGACTATGCCCCATTGGGGAGTACTTTCCCCCTCTACCTCTCTCTTCCTCTGTGAATGTTCCTCTCTGGCAAATGTATGTGAAGAAAGAAAAAATAGGAAAGGAAAGGAAAGGAAAGGAAAGGAAAGGAAAGGAAAGGAAAGGAAAGGAAAGGAAAGGAAAAAAAAAGAAAGAAAGGAAATGAATAGGAAGGAAGGAAGGAAGGAGGAAGGAAGGAAGAGAGAAAGATAGAGGAGAGAGGGAAGGAGGGAAGGAAAGAAGAGGGAAGAAAGGAGGGAGGGAGGATAGAAAGAAGGAAGAAAAACAGAAAGGAAGGAAGGAAGGAGAATAAGAAAAAGAGAAAAAGAATAAAAGACGGAAAGAAAAAGAAAAAGACAGGAAGGAAGGAGGAAGGAAGGAAGAAAACATCATAGCATACTATGATCTATGGGCACATAAGTTAGGAACAAAATATGATCTTGTTAAGTTATGCTCCCAGCCCCCTCATTTTTGAGGCACAGAAAAAGTGTGCAGGATAAAAGCCAGCTCTGTAACTGGATGCTGGAAACCCTCTCTGCCCAGAGTTCACTCACTGTCCAAGCCTTCTCATCCACCTGCCTCTCTCACACGCTCCATCTTCCACAGACCCAGCTGTAGCCACATCAGCCCACTGCACAGCCCCCTCATGCCACTGTAGCTTTCTCATGTGTCCTACCCTGCCAGAATACCCTTTCCTTTCTCATGTCATACACCCTTTAAGACTCACTTCAAGAGTTGATTGTTCTGGAAAACCTCCTCTGGCAATTAGTACACAAGTACAGTTGGTTCTTCCCGTGACCCTTCCCCCGCTGCAGCCCAGTGGATCCATCTGTCCACCATCTTCCACTGCTTTCTATTAGTAGCTTTGTTGCAATATAATTTATATAACACACTATTTACCCAGCAAAGTGTGCAATTCAGTGTTTTTTTCATAGATTTGTTCTACCATCACCAAAATATAATTTAGAACACTTCTGTCACCCCTAAAAAGGAACCCGTGCAATCTCTCCCGATTCTTCCCCAACTCTCCTGCCTCTAGCCCTAACATACCACTAATCTACTTTCAGTTTCTATAGATTTGCCTATTCTGGGCATCTTGTAGAAATTAAATAATTCAAAATGTAGTTTTTTTGTTTTTTGTTTTTTATTTTTCACTATAGGGTGCATGCGCTTGACAGACAGACAGAGAGAGACATAGAGACAGAAAGCAAGAAATCACCCCCGAGGGGGGATGGTCACACCACAATCCCTTCTCCTCCATTCTCCTCTCGGGATCTTGGGCACGCATGCACACGTGCCCTACATGAGTTCTAAGCCACCGGGTCTGGGACGCGAACCACAGTCAACTGCAGAGCCATTACACTAACTGCTGGTTCCCAAAATGTGGTCTTTTGTGATTAACTTCTACCACTTAGCATATATTTTAAGGTTCATCCATACTGTAGCATGTATGAGTACTCCATCCCTTTTTATTGCAAATAATATTTCATTGTCAGCAGATGTTAGCCTTTGCTTATCCATTCATTAACTGATGGACATTTGGGTTTTTTCCCATTTTAATTCTCTTGGGTAGATCCTAGGTCATATGATACCTCTACATTTAACATGTTGAGAGACTGCCAAACTGTGTTCCAAAATAGCTGCACCATCTTATGTAACCATCAGCAGTGAATTTCTCCATATCCTTGTCAACACATTGTTTTCTTTTTTTTTTTTTTTCACTTTAGCCATCCTACTGTCCGTACATCCATTATGTTTTATGGAGATGGTTTCCATGTCTCTCTTCCTCTTTTGACCAGATTGGGTCTGGCATTCTTTCTACTGTGTCACTGGAAAAGTACTGGCACAATTTTACATAGGAAAATACATCATGACTTTTCTGATGACCCAGTAGTACCAGTTTTTCTCAGATTCCTGGACAGCATCAGTGCATAAGTCTTTGTGGATTGAAATGAATGCATGAGTTGGGAGACTTGATCCAGAGTTGAAAACAAATTTTTGTGCCCCTTCTGTAGTAGTTAGGAGCAGAGTAGACGCCCAGCCAATGCCCACCCCACTTGAACACAGTGCGCCCAGCAGCTGTTTCACTAGACATAATCACTCCAGAGCTCTTGATGATTTTGCCAGGGAAGCCACAAACACTTGTAGAACACCTGTAGTGAGCAAGAGAGTGGCTAGATTCTGCAGCAGAGATAGACAACATGGTATCTGCCCCTGAAGTGCTGAAAATCCATCGGGAGGCAAGGAGTGAAACAGTAGAGCCTTAGTTGGGAGAGGATGAAGCAGAGTTGTACCTGGGGTACTGTGCCATTCACACCAGAAGCAAATCCTCACCCTTGGATACAGAGGCTCCAAGATGCCGCTGGTCAGGGAGGAATTTTGCAGAGAAACTTTAAAAACTTAATGTCTCCAATTCGTCTGGAGTCCTTGAAGGAAGAAAAATTATTTATTTTCATTTTAAGTTTTAAGAACTTCATTTTTATATAAAACTTTCAAGTGAAGTTTTTCCAATGATAATGGAATCATGGTGTGTTTTTAGATTGAACTCAGCGAAGAACTATAGGAAAGCTCTTTGCATGCCCTGCACTGTTCTGCTCCTGGCCTCCCTCACAGTGGCCCAAATAAAGCCGGGGCTGCCCACAATGCCCTGGGCAGGAACCTATGTGTTATGTGTGCACCTCTCTAGTTATTTGTGTCTGCTGTGTTTCCATCAGTGCTTCTAAGCTATATGGTTTCACAATTGCCTTTTTAAGTTTTCTGATACTTCCCAGCTGGGACACAGGTTGGGCAGGCCATGCCCTGTTTTAGAGTTTGGAAAATGAAGCCACAGAGGAGGTCATTGATTTGTTGGGAACTAACTGTGCTTAGAGCACTGAGCCTTTGGGATCTAGCCTATTACTGGGGTCTCAGGGCATCCCCACCATTCCAGAGCTTGCTGTATAAATTTCCAAGGCCAGCTCAAGTCTTCAGGGAAGCCCCAGCTTGAGTACCATGGGCAGGAGCCTGGAGCCCAGAAGCTTTTTCAGCCATATTTTAAAGTTGCTCTGACCAGCTGCAGGAGTGATAGTTCCATCCTAGAGGACGTCTCCACCGAGTCCTTGGCTACAGAAATGGGTTGCTAAGAGGGCAGGTCCAATTCAGAAGAGTTATTCTCTTTTCTATTTTCTCTGCTCTTAGTAAAGCTGAGAAAATACCCTTTTCCTCATATGTGTGCTCTTTTCCCTCTGGCTTTTTGCCATTTTCCCTGTCACACTAATGTTGAGCCCGCAAACTATCCTTGTGGAGATAATAACAACAAATGACAAGAACAGTAATGCTTGTTAACATTTACTGAGCACTTACTATGTGCCGGGAGCTATTCTAAAGACTTTTCAGATACTAACTTATTTCATCCTCGTAACAATTCTGTGTGGTGTTATTACACCCAGCTTATGGATAAGGACTCTGAAGCTTAGGGAGTTTAAGTGATTGTCTATGATCAAACTAGTAGCCAGAGGCAAAGCAGTGATTCAGAACTATGACCCCAGAGCCCACACCACTACAGGCCAAACTCATTTGTTGTATGAGTTCCCAGCATTTGCTGGTTCTAAGCACTAAACCTTGCTACAGACTCACCCAAGACAAAAGGACTGGCCTCCAACCTTCTGGGTCTTAGTTTCCTCAACTGTAATATGATGCATGCTAATGCACTGATATCTGAGAAATGGAAAGGAAGTACTTAGAGCTGCATTAGGCATGTAGTAAATGCTCAGTAAATATCAGCCACTGTTATTGGTAGTGGTGTTACCTTCATGGGGACCGTTTCCAGAATCAATGTCTATATGGTTAGAAAATGCTATTGACTACATTTGGTCTTCCCAGGTGGCCTGGAACATGTAGTACATTTTCTGAGCACATGTTCTCATGGAGCTCTAATGGAGGTGACCAAAGTCTTCTAAGGAACATTCATCAGAGCCACAAATCTTGAGCCAAGGTAGTTGACCAAACCCTGCCACGGCTGAAATTTGGAGGAATAAATTAAGTTGCATTTAGTCAATTACTGCTCTCTGGGGGCCAATCTCACCTGCACCTCAGGCCCCAACTCTACACCTTCCCAAATGAAAATCCCCTGCACACTCCAGGGCTGCATGTTGATTATCGAGTTCACCCTGGGCAATGTTCCTGGGGCTTTTTATGGCCCTTAAAAAATCTAGGAATTGACTGGAATAGGTGTATAGCCTGAGATGGAAGTGGCATTCCCTTGCCCATCTCTATCCAGTCATGCTATCCATCTGCTCCTTCCTCCAAACCCAGTCAACAAACTATTCTTTTGGCCTTCTCCAATACAGCCACCCCACACTTCCAATCAACATTGCTAAATACAACTGAGACATGTCCAGACTTTGCAACTTATTGAAGGGTGTCTTCTAGGTTCACTATTTGTCCTGACCAATGGTCTAAGGGCTTGTGGCTCCCCCATAAGGCACCTGGTATCCCCACTGCATTCCCAGAATGGGTCACCAATTCACTGGGTATTATAGTGAGTATCATTTCCATGGACTCAATAAGCTCATCTATTTGGTGGGGATATTCTTCCTGCCAAGCAAAAACAGTTTTTTTAAGTGTATGTCTTTATTGTAAAATAAAAATATGTTGGTTGTAAAACACTTGGAAAATCTAGAAAAGTACACAGGAGAAAATAACTATTGCCCATAATCCTCCCTCTCAGAAATTCAGAGATAACCATAATATTTTGATGGATTTCTTCCAGCATTTTTCCCATGACTCTATATTTTCAAGAAAATGTATAACACATATTTATCAAAAATGTTAACAGAGTTGTCACACAGGAAGGAGAAGAAGTAGTGTCACTTGGCCTGGAGAGTATACTTGGCAGCTCCAGTTGCTGTCGTTGAGGTCACGTCGCTATGACTCTGCCAATTTGTCTCTCTTAGAGTGGAATCAGGTGTCATAATTGCCAAATGTTGTGGGATTGATTGACCCACACACAGCTCGATTTGGCCATCCAGCCAATAAAGTAACTGGCTGCAGCCCAAGAAAGAGCTCACTTAGAGCACTGCTTCTAGAGCATTCAGGTGCATGGGAATTATCTAGAGAGCTTGTTATAAATGCAGATTCTGATTCAGTAGACTGGGGAAGGGCCACACTTCTAGCAGTTTCCACACTTCTAGCAGTTTCTTAGGTAATATGTATACACCTGGTCCCTGGACCACGTTTTGAATTTAAGAGCTTAGAGAACCGAACTGACTCCTGTTTCACTCAGCATCTAAGTATGGAAGTCCTGTGATGTGTCAAGCACTGAGTAGGCGTTTGGGGTGAATGAGAAAAGGATACCAAAAGATGAGTTAACACCCAACCCTGTGGGCCAACCTTCTGCTCAGCAATTGACCTTAGCAGCAATTTCTCACATGTGTCCTAATCCAACAAGAGTCTTTGTTCAACCCCACACCCACAAGTTTCCTCAGAAGTGGCTTCTTGCTGAGCATGCTGCCCTGATGAGCTTGCAGTAATGGAAATCCTTCCAGCTCCCCTTCCTCCCTTCAAGGTTTTAATTGGCACATAAATTGTTCATTGACCTGCCTTGCTATTTTGCTTGCCTCCTCTCCCTTTATTCAATCAGCCGAAGAGAAATGGGGCTTTCAGTCCCAGCTAATTCTAGATCCTTTGCCAGATAGGACAAGGATGGGCTTCCAGAAGATGGAGAATGCCGATGACTTTCTTCATTCCAGTCCCAATGGGAAGCATAGGCAGAGCTGCCCCAGGAAGCATTTCCAGACAGACAGTGAGGGACCTGCCTCTGCCCCCACCATAGGACAGTATTGGCTGCTTGAGCCCATACCCCAATAAGTTCCCCTAGCTCAGGGGTGAGTGATAATTAGTAATACTATTACCACTTTGTATTCGTACTGTTCTGTCACTTCAGTTTTCACACTCTCTTCATTATTTTATCTTCAAACCAGCCCTGTAAAATGAATACTAATATGACCCCATTGTACAGATGAGGAACCTGAAGCTCTGAGAAGTGGAGTTGCCTAAGGTCACATAGCAGAAAGTGGTGAGGGTAGGACTAGAGCCCAGGTGTCCAGATTCCAGTGCTATTGTGGTACCAATACCCATAAGTCAGGTTCAGTTCTCTCCCTTCTCATCCTAAAGCCTGAGGAGAGAGTGACATGCTGTGTAGCCCTGGCTCAGCCCTGGCTCAGCCCTGCCTCAGCCCTGCCTCCTTTACCCACCAGGAGCCCACAGCCAGTGGGAAGCTTCCATTGTGACTCTTAGTTTTTAAAGGATGCTCCACAGAAGGTCACTTCACTTCTAGCCACCAGTTGGTTCCTGCAAAAGAAGTGGATATGGGATCCCTTGAGGGGGGAATAAAAAATAAAACAGAAAGATCTCCTTAGCTTTTGGATTTTTAATCAGAAGAACATGCAGGGCTTAGGGGGGAAATGATTTCTTCAGGGGGGTATAAATGGGGAGAGATGCTCAAAGTCAGTGACAGCCTGTTTTAATTTATAATTCTGCCTCTGTGTGAAATACAAGAGAGTTGGGGGGGAAATGAGCAATAATTCACTAAGGTGCTGTCACAGCCAGGAAGCATGAGGGCCTCTTTGTCAGTCTGCTGTTGCCGAGAAGGCTGAGACTGAGGAGAGCTGCAGGTCTCAGCTAGAGAGCTCCTTTCCTTCTACATGGAGACACAGCCTTCTCTGCAGCTTGGCCTGGAGTGTTGGACGCTGTCAGAGTAACCTGGGATGGCCCACTAGCTTCTTGGAATTGAGAGCCTTCCTGGAGCTATTCTAAGAGTAAACGAAGAGCATGAGCTCTTTCTAGCTCTCTTTTTCGTTCCTCCTTCTGTGGCCAGTGGGAAATATGTGGTCTATAAAGCTGACTGTGGCCTTTTCAGTAGGATCTGAGATAGTCTGATGAATAGAAAAGGATTACAGGTCCTTTGGGACCAGCAGTTGGCGTAATAGTTATATTGCTGGACTCCCATGTAGTCAACCGCAGACAGAGTCCCAGACCAAGTGGCTTAAACTCATGCCGGGCACGTGTGCGTGCGTGCCCAAGATCCCAAGAGGAGAATGGAGAAGGGTTGCAGCGTGGCCATCACCCCTGGTGGTGATTTCCCACTTTCTGTCTCTCTTTCTTTTTTTGTCTTTCTGGCGAGCTCACATGCCCTATAGCAAAAACCTCTGAAGGAAGGAAGGAAGGAAGGAAGGAAGGAAGGAAGGAAGGAAGGAAGGGGGGAGAGAAAGGAAGGAAGGAAGAAAGAAAGAAAGAAAGAAAGAAAGAAAGAAAGAAAGAAAGAGAGAGAGAAAGAAAGAAAGAAAGAAAGAAAGAAAGAAAGAAAGAAAGAAAGAAAGAAAGAAAGAAAAAGGATTACAGGTCCTTTACGCTGACCCAGCAGATGATATTAAGAGGCCCCAGTGGCTGAGATTGTTTGATCATGAAATGCTAGGTTATGCTGCAGCAATAAACCATCCCAATATTTCAATGGCCTCAAATAACATTTATAGCACCTACCCAATGGGATTGGGGTTGTAAAAGGCCTCTGCTCCACAACTTCACTCAGGGACCCAGGCTGGCAGAGGCCTCTCTGACATAGAGCAGCACCATCAAGATCAATAACTCTCCTTGGTCACTACAGGAAAGGAAGAAAGAGACTAAAGATTTACACTAGGGCTTTTCACAGCCTTAGTCCAGACAAGACATATTCTTTCCCCTCAGGTTTCATTGGCCAGAACTAGCCATGTGGTTTCACTTAACTGAAAGGGGTTGGAATATAAAGGGGAGTTTTGAACAATATGTGTCTCTGTAAACAGGAGTGAATCGAGAGCCCAAACCAATCACCAGTCAATATTGCTATTGCCAGGAACAACAGGTGGTATGGTGGTTAAGGTGTTGGACACTCACATGGTCAACTGTGGTTCAAGTCCTGGACTCACCAGCTTGAAAATCACTTGGAGCATGTGTGCCCAAAATCCCAAGAGGAGAATGGAAGAAAGGGGATTGTGGCATTCCTATCCTCCCTGGGGGGTAATTTTTCACTTTCTTCTCTCTGTCTCCAGACAGCACACATGCCCTATGACAAAAACCTTTAAAAAAAGAAAAAAAAAAGAAAGAAAGAAAGAAAGAAACCACTGCCACCCCCTAAACTTTTGTCATTGGGTTGATCATTAGAAATGCGTCCTAGAGAGTTACACATTGGCTCTCCTTGGGTCACATTTTGGGTGAATCAGCATAAAGAGTACAGAATTTAGAAGCAGAAGATCTGGGTTTGAGTCCCAGTGGGTAACCTACTAGCTGTGTGACCTTGATCAGACTGCTTAATATTTGTGAGCCTCTACTTTGTCACACAGACAACTGGGCTAACAATACCTTTGCTGGGGAGTTGTTGTTGTTGTTGTTGTTATTACTATTTTATTTTCTGAAGAGCAGGAAACTACAAGCCAGCATGCATACAAGTTAGAACTTTGGGGCTTTGCTTCATTATGATCATATCATTAGACGTTAAGTGTTCTGGCCGGGAAGCTGTTACTAATGAGGACGATTTGGTCATGCCTGGTTAATTTGACTTGATGTTGGTATATTTTGCCTTTGGCAGTCCAGGAAATGACTGTGTTCCATGCTCTCTCCACAGGTAAACTTCCTGCTGGTTTTTACTGCAACTTTGAGAATGGCTTCTGTGGCTGGACCCAAGATACACTCTCACCCCATGCACCACAGTGGCAGATCAGGACCCCAAAGGATGTCCAGTTCCAGGATCACAAAGGTACTTCCCCTCTCTGCTCTTACCCCTGGCCCCTGTCTTCATACTCTTGTGGATAGACAAGAAACATAGGGCCATTTCCAAGGCAGCTGGGCCTATTTCATCCAACAGGGCCAGCTCAGGTGACAGCCCGAAGTTTACCCAGAATGCTCGCACACAATTCTCTCTGTAGACTTTCTTGGGCTTTAGAATGACTACATCTGGCCAAGATAGATGTCACCTCTCTTTTTACTTAAAATAAAAACTTTACTGAAGGAATAATGAAAGAGAATAGCAACAGTAATAATACCTTATTCTTTCAACAACTGTTTGTTGAAGTCCTACTATGTATCAGGTACATAATACATTGAGATGTGGGCAAAGCCATGCCCACCATGACTGGAGAGACTGATGCATAGAGAGGCCTGTGGATTTTGCTCCAAGGTTGTGCTTTGAGAATGCTGCCCCACATCTAGTTCATTCCCCACAGTCTCGCCTCCTCAGCCATACCCCCATCCCTGACATAAGCTGGTAACTCCTGTCTTCCCCACATCAGAGTCCATCCTCTCCACAACTCCTTCCTAACTTCCAGAGGAACAAAAGGCCTCTATACACCCAAGAGATGGCTACCCACACCTGGGTGGCTGACTCCATACTCAGAGACAACAGTCTGGGCAGGGCGTGAGATCAGAGAAGCTCTGGGAGGCCAGCACAGCTTTCATAGTCAGGTTGCTAGAGAGACCAGGCCATCCAGCCATGAGCCCAGCCTTGGGCCATACCAAGCAGCTGAGTCAGGAAAGAGCCTGTGCCCACCTCTCTGCAGAATAGGGCTGGGGCAGGGTGGTGGTGGTGGTAGGGGGTGGTCAGAGGTCCTTTCTTTCTTCTCTCTCCTGCATTTGCCTTCTCTTTGTGGAACTTAGAAACTTTTATACCCAAATTCCTCTCTTTCCAAGCACACATTCTATGGATTATGACAAGGTCTTCAAATAGTTCATGGGAAATGTGTGTGGCGGGGTGGGGGTGGAACTATGCATGGATTCCATTTTCAGTTCCAAAATAAGCTAACTAATTCCATTTTCCACAAACTTCTTAAGGTCCCATCAAAATTTAAGAAATCATAATAAAAAAAATGTAAGAGAAGATAACATTCAGATCAATCATGAAGGTTCCCAGAGCCTAGGCAGGTCTGTTCTCAGTCTTCAGAGCTATAGCTGCAGCTGAAGAGCTGGCCTTGGGCCAGGACACTCTCACAGGGGCTCCATTAGAAAAGAGGCTGAGTTACTGCAGCCATAGGAGTGTTCTGCAGGAACTTCTCAGCAGATACAAAGGGCCCAGGAGCTCCTGCTTTCTCTCCTGGACTCCCTTATCATACAGCGTCCTCTTTAACACTGTAGAAGGATCAGAGAGGAGATGGAGCTCAAAGTTAGACATGATCTTGCTGCCTCCACTCCCAATTTGATAATCCCTCTACAGCACCAATAGCAAATAAATACCCAACTCATATTGCCCCCAGGGCTCCACTCCTGGGACTGGACATCCTCCTGGAATAGCCCAGGTTCTTGTTTAAGGTGAAGTAAGGTCCAACTGCCCTGGGGTGGGCCCTCTCAGCTCCAAATCACAGACCAGTTTCCCTTACCTCAAGGAAAGCTCCACCTCTCCATGAAAACTATGTCCCTGACTTTTGCCTCCTGGAGCTCCACAAAACTAAACTATCTTCTTTCCCACAAAGGCAGCCCTTCAGACTACCCACATAAAGCCTTTTTTCTCCCCACTCCTATAATCCCAGTTCCTTGAGCTTTATGATTGCTAAGATCTCTGGCTTGTCCTGATTACTCAGCTCTGGACCCACCTGAATGTTACTTGGTAGTTACTCAATATCAGGCTTTAATAAGAGATGGAGAAAGGTAGAAATGAATGACTACAGTCATGCTTGGGGTTCTGTGGGCCTCTAAAAAGTTGTGAGCTTCCTCTGGCACCTGCCTACAGATCTCTGACCATCTATAAAATGCTCTGTAGTTTCCTGGAGTTTTATCAATGCTTTTTCTTCCCACCATATGGGATTGGGAGCTCATGGTCTCCCAGGTTTTCAGGCAAAATGGTGCTTAGAAAACACAAGAAACGAGTCTCTGTAGGCAGGGCATGGAGCACAAGATGAGGACTGGGTTTGGGAGTCCAGTGTGTTGGGCTGAAGCTGGTGATTTTGGGAGATCAGGGATGTCATGGCCAAATGTATGGTGCTAGAACTTCATAGGCACTTGGCAGTAAAGGCCATTCCATGGGGAAGATTTTTTGGACAATGACCAAAGGGATTGCTTATTCATTGTAAAGCAGAAACCAGTGTCCTCAAAATGTCCCAAGGCTGAGCAGGGTACATTAAACCTGTACCCTTGGACCCCTCAGTTTATGGTGATGGTGTGTTTGTGACTCTTTTTCTCTCTTCTAGGCCATGCCCTTTTGCTCAGCACCACTGATGTCCCCACTTTCAAAAGTGCTACAGTGACCAGTGCTACGTTTCCTGCACCAATGAAGAACTCTCCATGTGAGGCAAGTGTCAACATTGCTCTAATTTTCTAACTTCTCCCCCACCCTTGTCACTTCCAGATAAACCCAAGCAGAATGAGAAAATTGTCTGGATGCCTAGGCTGGTTGTTCTTTTGGGGAGAGCACAGGAGGGTCGTTTTTCTCTTCTAGGCAGAGCACATGGTAAAGTGCCATCTGCAAAGAGTTGTACCTAAACATCTGTACTCAGCTGCACTCAACCATTTGCACCAGGATGTTGGTTTAAGTTAACCAAGAAAATACTTCCAAAGGCATATCAGGGAGAACAACAGGGATTTACAAAAGACTTTCTATAGACTTTCTATAGAAAGAGATGGAGATGGAGACAGTGAGATGGAAAATGAGAAATTACCCCCCATCAGGGATGGCCACACTGCAATCCCTTCTCTTTCATTCTCCTCCCAGGATCTTGAGCACATATGCACATGCACCCGGCATGATTTTCAAGCTACCAGGTCCAGGACTCGAACCGCAGTCAACTATATGGGAGTCCAGTGATGTAACCATTATGCCATCTGTGGGTCCCATAGAATCCCTTTTTAAAAGCTCTTATAATACAATTCAAATATAATAGAGCATCAAAAATTTGATTTACATAAATTTTACTAAGACATCAATGACATTCAGTGAAGTACCTCCTAAGTCACTTACCCAAATGGTTCCTGAACCTGTTCCATCTTTAGTTTGAGAACAAAGGAGCTGGTCCCACCCTTAGCATAAAACACTGTAAGGGCCAAGACATGTGCTTAAGACCCCAACGTGGCACAGCTACCAAGCTCATAAACTCTGAAATCAAGTACTTGAGTGCAAGCCAAGTTCCACCACTGATAAGACATGCAATTCGTTTGGGCAGTTAATTAACCTATCAAGACTTCAAATTGCCTCACCTGGCAAATAGACAATAACGCGCCTACCCCAAACAGATAAGCATTGAATTGATTAACTCAGCCACGGAGCACTTAACATAGGGATAGTCTAAGAAATGCGTCATTAGGTGATTTCATCATTGTGTAAACATCACCCCTATACTGTATAGCCCATTGATGGCGACTACTGTCATATATGTCGTCCTATGTTGACTGAAATGCCATTGTGAGGCACAACTGTACACAGAAAGGACTTTGAGCAGCATCTGGCACAAAACAAGCAATGATAGTTTATAGTGCCTGGCACCTTATGAACATATGAAAGGGGAGTAGGGGAAGAGGAAGCAGACGTTGGCCAAAAATCAGACTCAGTGCTCAGAGAGCGGGCCAGCTGTCGTGCCTCTTTGCACCACCCCATGGCACCCACACCAATATCTCGTATGTAGTAGAAAATCAACATGTAGTTTAGATTTGGCCAGTCCTCTATCTCTGGAAACTCGCAGGAGAAATTCCTCTCTGGCTTAGATTCTGGAACCCTCTGAGCAATTTGCTTTCCTTGACATGTGGACATCAAGAGACCGACAGATTCACTTCCCCTCCTTTGTCTGGTAGTAATCCCAGGGAGGTGGAGCTTTGTCCAGCAGAGATAGGGGCAGTGGGTTTTCTCCTGCTGAGGGGTGCAGGCAGATTCAAACCCTGCAGGTTTCCTGTGAAATTAAACTCATAGACGTAAAACAGATAAGAGCAAAAAGGATGTATAAATGAATGTTTTGTTTGTTTGTTTGTTTGTTTGTTTTTAAATCTGAAGAATGGTTAAATTAAAGCTGGTCTCTCCCTTAGGACAGTATGATGTGCAGTTTACAGCAGCCTCCCTCCTGGTTCGATTTTATAACTCAGTTTTTGCCCTGTCTTTCTTACCCTTTTTTGTATTTATGTTATCTTACTAGATTTTATGTCTCTGTGAGCCACATGAAATTCTTTTTGGAAGAAGTCTGGGCACAGATAAATAGATTCATTAAATTAAATTGTATTTGAGAAACCATGCTAGCTGATGCAGATGGTGGATTACACAGTCATTGTTGATATTTCTCAGGTGCCTCAGAGTAGGAGCCTAGAAGGAAGACTTCTTAAGAGAAAATCTAAATGAGGACAGGTGGGTGGCCTACCTGAAAGGACAGGAGGATTCCTAAAAGCATTAGGTCTTTAAATTTACTCTGCAAAGGATTTAATAATGAGCCTCACTTCAGAAAAAGAAATGTCAAGGTAAAGATTATATTTTTCTAATACTTCATCATTTCTCTAATAACCTTTGAGTTGATCAATAGCTTAAACAGGTGTTTCATTTTACCGGCCTATTTTATTTTTCCTCCAGTCAGATTCGCTCTGGGCTATCGCTGCTATTTCCTGCCCTTTTCCAGAACTTAGCTCAGCAAGTGTAGAGAGAGGAAAGGAGTGAGTTTATTCCACATCCCTATTGTTCATATTTATGTATATTCACATATTTCACATTCGGGTTTTCAGATCATTTGTCTAATGTTGATGGGTCTTTGAATTCCCGATGTTGGAAGAACTATTTTCATCAGAAAATAAATAACCAAAATAGAAATATTCATTTCCAAGTGTGTAAGCCTCACCATTTATTTCATTCGAATCCTAACTGCAGAGGGCAGGAAGTTCGTTTCCTCTTTCCGAGTTGCCTGGACTCCAATGGCAGTGAAACTGAACAGCATTGCCGTGGGTGACTGTGTGAGGTTAACTGGCACCCTCTAACCCCACCAACCCTCCTGGCTGTGCATGAGTGAAGGTCCCTGAGGAGTGTCAGGCCCACAGGATCTGGGGACTGGCTAAGCTGAGCTCCAGGGCTAAACCCCACCCCTGAGCATTTTGTTAAATCCAGACTAGCCCTGGTCTCCAGGGAGTCAGAGTAATTGCAGAATGTGTCAAAATACTCCCCCAAGAAATCCCACAATCATCAGTGACTTCCCATAGGGGATCTAGTGTTATCTTTGATGAATTTCCTTCAAATTCTAGAAACAAGCTAACTAATAAATCTATGTTTCTCCAATTGTGGTCACTGAAAAATGTGATAAATGGAGACACTTGGGCCCCACCCTGGACCTCCTAAGTAATATGTCTAAGGGGTCCTGGAACTTTGCATTTTCAAGCCCCACCCTCAGTTATTTGGATGCATGTTGACAATTATTGGCAGTAGTTACACTCGTCTTATAACTGAAATCATTTAAGTCCATGCAGTGGTTCCCTCCACTATCTGTGGCCCTAGACAAGGTGATGTAACTCATTTTGAAAAATAGAGAAAGGGTAAGAAATGAGTGGGGCAGAAAAGCTGAGAAAGCACCTGGAGACAGGTCAGGTGCCCATTGACAATGGAGATGTAGTCAGGGCACGTCTCTGTGCCAATCCAACTTCCAGGGCATTCCAGAAGCACTCCAGCTCCCACCTCCTCCCTCCAAGCTCCTGCAGCCACCACTGCTGCCTCTGTTGGCCAGCCCAGGCTGCAAGAGCTGCTCTCTCTCTCTCTCTCTCTCTCTCTCTCTCTCTCCACACACTCACATGGGCCATGAATATTTAAAGCCCTCTGCCTAGCCCAGCCACGAACAAGAGCGAGCATTGTGGGATTTTTTTCTGTTTCCCCTTCCCACTGACGATGGAGATATAGTTTTCTCTCTGGAAAACTGGAGAACTGCTCACAATATATCCTGATTTTATTTTATTTTTATTTTTATTCTGCTGAGCTCCAGTTCAAATAATTAAAGTTGCCGCCCGAGAGGGGAACCTTGTGGTCGCTTTCATGTGCTCGCTGCTGTCAGACCTGCTCAAGTCCGTGGCTTTGAGACACACTCAGCTGTGTCTAGCATTGCAGCTGTTGGTAATAAAGAGGACAGGAGAGTGGCAGCGGCCCGTCTCCACCCCTCCCCCTGCCTTTCACACATTCCAGAAGCCTGAATGTCTCAACAAGCCCCGTGTGGTTTGAAATTCTATTTTATTTGAATAGCCTGCCTGTGACTAGAATAATTTAAACCATGTTCTCAGGCCAGAACAAGGCCTGAGAGGAAGGGGAAAAAAAAGGGGGGGGGGGCTTCTTTCATTTTCTTTTCCCTCCTAAATGTGGACAGTCTTCTCTCTTTCTATGAGCTACAGGAAGGCAAGGCAAGGGACCCCAGGAGTGGGATTGCCCCCCAATTTTTGGTAATCAGGTCCTGGTTGCTGTCTTTCATAGCTCACCGGAGCTGCAGTCACCTCTCCCCTCTCTCATGCATACATATGCATTCTCTCTCTCTCTCTCTCTCCCCCTCCCTCCCTCCCATACATACACTGGGATCCTGCAACATAGTTCAGACCTTTCTGCTCCTGACGTCAGTCCTAGAGATGAAAAGAGCCACCTTTGATTAGCAGCTGGGGCTGCCAAAGCTCAGGGCCGAAGGTGACCAGCAGGTCCCCCCTGTGTCTGCCTGGGCTAACTGGCCTGGAGGGAGGGAGACCCAACACTCTGTGTCATTAAAACCAGCAAGCATGGCCCAGAAGGATGTGGGCGAGTAGACTGACATCTGGAATTGTGCTCTGCCATCCATTAAGCCCTGTCCAGAGCCCCACTGAGAACGAGTCCCTTATGGGGGGCAGGGCCCCAAAGGCTAAAGGCCAGATAATCTTTTATTAAATTGTTTTCTGGTTGATTTGGTAAAATTTTCGGAGTACCAGTGAAGCAGGGACCACCACTTCCCTCTACCTTCTCAGTGTGACAAGGGGAGAGCCATGCTGACTTGATTGCACTCATTTAAGCTGGCCTCCCTTCCTCCTATGGGCAAACAGGATTTCTTTTCTTTTCTTTTCCTTTTTTTTTTTTTTTTTTTTTTTTGCGAGATTTTTTATTATAGGGTCTAGAGAGACAGAGAGACAGAAAGCGAGAAATCACCCACCCCCCCCAGGGAGATGGCCATGCCACAATCCCTTCTTCTCCCAGGATCTTGGGCACGCACGCATGTGCACTTGGCATGAGTTTAAACCACTGAGTCTGGGACTTGAATCACGGTTGACTACATGGGAGTCCAGCGACATAGCCATTACTCCAACTGCTGGTCCCGGCAAACAGGATTTCTGAGA